GTGAAAAAGTCACTTTTCTCGTTGATTACTAGACCAAGTGCTTTTGAAGTTTTCAGTGGGTAAAGATTGTATTTTTCGCTAGAAGGCTATTACTATTTATTTATTCTTGAATTTTCTATGAATTCTGTGAGATCTTATATTTCATCCAAAATTTTGGTGTATTAATTTTTACGTCATGGTAACACTGTTTCAAAACTTATTCTAAGCGGTTCTGCGATCGAATATCAGGCCTACAGGCTACATGTCGGCCTACGGTACTGGTAAGTTACCGTACCGCATATGATTTTCGAGGAATTGATGATAAATAATTTAGTTTACGTGGGCATATATTTGAGCATCGCTCTCTTGTTTTTAGTTATATTTTTGTATCGCCCGGTGTTACAAAGAAAGTTATTAAAAGGGGACGAGGAAAAAATATAGTGATAGGAGATGTTGTGACTATTCACTGCGTTGGTTATCTTGACACCAATCCTCCTAAAAAGTTTTGGAGCACCAAAGATGCAGCACAAAAACCGTTTACTTTTGCTGTTGGAAAAAGACAAGTAATTAAAGGTGGGAAACTTTTCATCTTTCAAGTACATTTGTTGTACTTATTTGACTACACTTGCCAATATGATAGTCATATATTTTAGCTAGCCATCAAATATTTATTGAAACAACATTTGGTGGAAATACAAAGTGACCCAAAAAATGTTACCATTTTTTACATTCAGAATGTAAAATAGTAACATTTTTGGCCTACCCTGTATTTAGCGCGGAAAAGGCAACAACGTAGTATTTATAAACATATTATTCAAATAATCCTAATTTGATTTAAACTCTTTTAAAAACTAGTAAATTATTCATTTCCAAATTGGTTATTCTGTGTTCTTCGGATTTGCTCGAAGCTCTAAGGAGAGAGAGAGAGAGATTGACTCAGGACATTAAAAACGTCGCGCATCTGTTGCTTATTGATTTTCATGTTGTTTTCGAGACTGAAAAGCGCGTATCTCGTTTCCTTTTAGATCAATCAAATTTAAATCTGTTTATTAAATAATGATGAAACAGATTTCTAGATTGTAGAAGCACAGAGCTCTTATTAACTTTCTGTTGTGTTCTCTGGGCTTATAAGGGTTTTTGAAAAAAAAAAAAAAATCGAAAAACTGCGTCACCTTTTGGCGATTTAATTGTTATGCTCATATATTAGAGCAAGGGGGTGCAACCCTTAATACAGGAGGGTCAGATACAAATAACTCGTTTCATGTTGTTTTCGAGACTGAAAAGCGCGTATCTCGTTTCCTTTTAGATCAATCAAATTTAAATCTGTTTATTAAATAATGATGAAACAGATTTCTAGATTGTAGAAGCACAGAGCTCTTATTAACTTTCTGTTGTGTTCTCTGGGCTTATAAGGGTTTTTGAAAAAAAAAAAAATCGAAAAACTGCGTCACCTTTTGGCGATTTAATTGTTATGCTCATATATTAGAGCAAGGGGGTGCAACCCTTAATACAGGAGGGTCAGATACAAATAACTCGATGAAACGGCGGGCCGCACTTTCATTCAGCGTAGGCTTTCTAGTAGTTGCAAGCACAAAGCAGCACAAGCTAGCTGTTGGGGTGTTGTAATGTCATTAGCACTTCTTTGTGGGTCGCATTTCCCCTTGTGAGCCGCATTTGGTCCGCGGGCCGCAGGTTGCGCACCCCGTATTATGGCATTTGCTCTTGTGTTTCTTGCATATTGTTAGCTTTCTTACTCACTCAATCAAAATTCCGTAAACCACGTCAATATAATATGGAGGAAACTTTTAAATAAAAACGCTTTTATTGTGCATTCATGCACGATTCTATCCAGTGGTTAAATAAGATTCAAAACTTTTATAAATTTCGAGATCACATCAGTTTTTATCATTCCAGATCTTCTAATCTATATACGTCAATAAAATAGCCAAAGTATATATATCATACAGATATATAAAAAGAGAACTTTATAGATAATTCATTAATTTCTATGTTTTCTCTATTTCAGCATTATGTATATAACTTATTATTAACGATGTATTAGGATAAACTGTTTAATCTCTTCAGGTTGGGACGAAGGAGCAAGATCAATGCGGCTTTGGGAGTTTAGCCGTATAAAAATAGAAGCAAAAAAAGCTTATGGAAAATACGGATTTGAAGCATGGGGATATCCTTTAAACAAACAGTAGTATTTTTAAATTTGCGTTCTTGGACACTAAGTGGACTTATAGGTCGTTTCGAATTATGTTGTTGTTGTTAGTATTTTTTTCTTGCCGCTTTCTCTTCAACTACTAATTACTATTATTACTTTAATTTATTTCAAATATTCCTGTGGGCTCTATATGTGATTCGTTTTTCACTATGAAGTTTTGTGGTGATGATTTGGGTTTTGATGATCAAAATTCAAAATTGCGCACCTTGTGGACGTTCCGCTTTCGCGATCTGGTGGTCAGCCACAGACCGGAAGGCTACGGTACCGGTACTGTAAAATATTTGATACCCGTTCTACTTAGTTTTGGCTTTCGTGTTTATATATTTAAGCATTGTTCTCTTGTTTATGTCATTTTTCTAATGGTTGTCCAATTCTTGTTATCCCCTTTTCGCGTCTTCTTGTCAACCTGCATCTAGTCATTACCATTCTTTTTCTCTTCTCTCATTATCGATACTTTTATGTAAAAAAAAAATCAGAAATAGAAAATTCTTTAACACGAAGCACAATACCTCCAAACGCTGGAATAATATTTGAAATGGAAATCATCGAGCACAAACGCAACAACAAAAGTTGATGAATGTAGCGGAAAAGAATAGTTTTCTTAAATCTGTATTGTACTTGCACTTAAAAATTACATCGAATAGAGTCAATTTCTCATAAAAATTAAAGCTATTGGCATATATATAAATCAGTACAGCATGACGGTGATTTTTTTCTAATTGCATATCAAGAGGACTTGATGTTTGGCAAAATTATTTATGCTTATTTCAATAATATTTCTACTGCATGTTTTTTGTTCTGACAAAAGGGTTCTAATTTCTGTGCAGAAATCCCCTTTCTTATGTATCCGGAAAGTTCTTTTAAAGCACAACACTTCTTGGTATAAGACGACATAGGCTTATTGGTCATATTCAAGATAACATTAGTTTATGTTTTAACCGAACGTTGACCAAATATCGTAAAAAGTTCATTTCTCTAGAAATTTTTGTCAAGGCTGACTGATCATGTCTTCCACTAGTTAATGGCTATAGCGCCTAAATTAATGCATCAATAAATAGCGTAAGAAGTTCATTTCTCTAGAAATTTTTATCAATGCTGACTGATTCTGTCTTTCACTAGTTAATGGCTGTGGCGCCTAAATTAACGCATCAATAAATTTTGTTCACTGAAATTGTACTAAGAGTGTTAATGAATTTGATTGCCAAATTAGCTCACCTGCGATACTGTCTCGGATATTGGCGCCAAGATTAGGTGTTAATGACGATCAAATTTAATAAACAGATATCTTATATCACAATAAGAAGAGATGCAGTAAGGGATGCATGCAGTAGTTTTCGTTAACGTGCCTTACTGGTCACATCCTACGTCATTGGTGCGTTGAAATTGTATGTAGATTGATAGGAAAAGTTGTACTTGGTTCTATAAAGTGTAGACTGCAGTTTTTGTGGACTAAATTTGTTGAATTTTAGGAGAAGGTATATAACATTTACAGTGTATGAAATATCAACATTATACTGTTGAAACTTTAGCGATATTGTCGTCTTTATGTAAATTACGAACATATCTTACCACACAAGACCTTGTTATATCAAGTTATCCTACCTTCTATCATGCTGACGCTTTTTACTTTAGGTTTGAGAGTTAGTTGGATAGTTCAGTGAGATCCAATACTTGAAGATTAGACTGTAAAATAGGGCGTATAACCTCGGATTTACAATATGACACATAATTTATTTCGGATGAAAGATGCCTTTATCCGAGTGTTCTGATGACAATTGGCTACCTCGTAAATGCGCTAACTCAATTTAAATAGAACCATGTTACTTACTATGACGTATCGGCTACCAATATTGGGAACATTGTGGGAAGGTTTCTCTCAAAAGGTGGACTGACAGACGCTTGAATTTTTTTCCAACACGGCTTGCTTTTTTACAAAAATTCAAAACGCCATATCGTCATGCCCCGAAAATTGACACTTGACAGGCATATTAAAAAAAGTAGTGTCGAAATGTGTCAACAAGGCGGTAATTGAAATATGGCATTATATATTGGAACTTATGGATAATGTCATAATATTTGAATATTTGTCATTGATTTGAACTCACGCTACCGTTGTCAAATTTTATAGAGGTCACCGTATAGAGCACTTTGAGAACCTTCAGATTAGACAATGGTTTTTATACCTCTAGTACGTGACCCAAAACTGGGTCGCCTGCAAATTTTCTTGGGTCATTTGTTTTTTCAACAAAAACCTAAAGGTTACTAAATTTATTTTCTAATAATTTTATTATATTTTTGGCATTGAATTTTGGGAAGAAATTGTATATGTGGGAAGTATCCATGGGTAAACCCTTGGCAGAATTCACCTTGCTAAGCCACGCTACCATTTCAAAAACTCGCTGATGGCAAACTTTTGGGGTAATTACTGTCGGAATAAATGTTATGTAAAAATGATTAATTACTGCCTCAATATGAATCATTATAAAAAACTAAAACTAATTTTCTTCACAAATTTGACACTATGCACACACATTTATAAAGTAAAGTTGAAATGTGGCAACAAGGAGGTAACTGAAATATTGCATCATCTATCATTCTATTGGAACAAAAAGTTACTAATTTTATTTTCTAGTAATTTTTAATTTTTATTTTATATTTGTATTGA